CTCCTGACGACGGACAGAGCACACTGTCCGAAACGTTGAGCCTCTCCGGTTCTTATCAGAACCACACAGACTCAAAAAGAGATATTGCATGGTGCTTACCACAAGCTTTCCATCTTACCAATGACCAATCGGAAAAATCAGTATTGCATATTCATAGTAATGTAATGCATATGCACACACCATACACACTCGGCATGTCATTCGCGTGGGATGCATATTCATGACATATACATGTACCTCTATGATGCAATGCGTGAAAGCCCATGCTGATTTAGATTTTGTAGCAGAACCAACGTCAAGTCATAGCATCGTCGAGTGTACCGGCCACACGTGGCAGTACAGTAAACGGCCCACAGGTGCGATTGCGCTGCAAAGGCGTTGCGGAACAGAAGTTTCAGAGGATTTGCTGCCGCTGCATTCATAGACTTCAGCATTGCGTCTGCTGGGCTGGTGCCAGGGGCCGAAATTTTCTTGATTGGCAAAAGGTTCTATTTTATTTGGTTCAAATTCCAGCATACATCACAATCAACTGTTTCGCCACTTATTTTAGAATACTGTTTTACTAGACTTTACTCGAATTTGGCTAGCGGACAAGTGTTAAGGCCCAGTTAAAAACAAACCATCAGTCTAATCTGAGGTTGTATTCAAATTGCTTGGCTATGGCTTACAATAACACCCCACTCTATGGGTTGCGGCACATACCACTGTCATTGACATGTGAACGATATCGAACCACAGCCAACTTAATTGCAAATGGATTTTACCTTCGTAGCAAACGACGCGCCATGGACAGCAGTTGCCCTCCTCCGTGGCCACCACCTGGCACAGCGGTGGTAGGTTGCTGTCCCTGGCCACGCACTTGACGGCCTTGCAGGACGCCAAGCCGGTCTCCTCGCACATACAACGATTGCACCCCTCCATCCACGTCTCACCAGCGTCGTGCTTGCGATTGGACGAGTCTTTGCACTCTGCCAAAGAGTGAACGGACTGGATTAATCGCATAAACTGGCCAACCCTACAGGCTAGCTTACACTTTTCAGTAAAGTGAAGCACAGAACTTCACTATTTAGTGAACTTATTTTGAGTCAAAAGGGGAAGAAAGTACTTCTTTTAAATGTAGAGAAATTTTCGAGAAGTTCCAAGCATCAGAATATCAAACCCTTGAAACTTTCACAATTCATACACCCTCTAGGTTGTTTCTAAGAGTGGCAACTGTCTTATAAATTTAATCTAAATACAATAAAAAATGTAGTTCTATTTGAATATTGACTTTGTTAAAAATTCACAATCACTTTAGTAAACATCAATAATGCTTGGTATTTGGACAGAGGTGTGTTATAAAATACATGTGGACTAGCACAATTTGGTCACTTGTGCAAGTCCATGACGCCTCAGGCCTTTGAGTGACTGGGGTCCTGTTTAAATTGACCCTTGGCCTCAGGAAATAGGACCCTCTTCTGGTCACTCACAGTCCCTTAAAGTGCATAGACGTGGACTAGTGAGCTCACTGACACTCAGTACGTATATAATATTTCTCAAAAACCACATGACCTATAGCCACAGTGTAACCAAAACAATGTCATTTGGAAATAATTTTGACCTACCAATCTCATCCACTTTGCCTTCAACGGAGCAGTCCAGTTTCTGGTTATGATCGTCATAAAATACGACATCGCAGGGTTTACAGTAGTCAGTGTGACACACAGCATCTGGGTAACGCTCACACTCGGCAAGCTCGCAAAACACAATGAGACACGTTGGGGGCGACCAGTCAGGACATTCCGGTAAGGTTTCTGTTGAAAGAGTGTCAAAAAATTTTTAAAGATGGAATTAGGGACAATGAGATAACTCAAAGCTGTTAAGTAACATGTTTAGAGCCATCTAAAACATTCAATCAAATATTTCTAGAAAGGTATGCTCTTGCTGAAAATATAATAATCAATTTCAGGGGTGAAATAAAAGAACTAAGTCGGGCTTGATCAATCAGATATGGACAGTCGAGCCCATCACAAGTCTCTTCAAGTCATTCACAAGTCCACCACAAGTAAGTCATCCAGTCTTTGGAAAAAGAAATCCTTTCTGAGAGTTCACCTTGACACTTGCGCCTGGACTCATGAGGCAACCTGTGGAAGGACTTGTTACAGTTTCAGCCATCACACTGGATATGGGATTGTTTCATCACTTACCCACCGGGCCTCCCTCGCATGGAACTCGTTGGCCGTTCTCATCAAAGTACTTAGCCACACAGCCGCCGCATCTGCTGATGAGGCACGTGGCCTCTGGATGACCCTCACAGGGTGCGTCACAGAGTGTGTCTGGGCAGGATGGGGCAACTGAGGAACCTTCCGGGCAGGCTGAAATAGCTAGAGTGGAAAAGGGTCACACACAAAAGTTTGGTTACTTCTAGTCAGGATTACTTATCCTTTCACTGAAACCTCTGGTTTCCACTGCTGTTGAATTGAATACAGGTGTGTTCACAATAATGCGCCACCAAAAGTTCGTAACGTGTTAGCCAATCACAATGGGCAAAATCTGTTGACTGTTTCCAAACACGCATTGGGTCGACAGATTTCGCGCATTGTGATTGGTCGACATGCTGCAAACTCTTGGAAACGCACTCACTGAGAAACTTCATTGACTTGGGATAAAAAGGAGCTGTTACCCTGACTTAACTTGAGAGAAAATGGCTTACAACTTGACTTAAACAAATTTGACTTGCCGACACAAACACTATCCACTTTTGTTGAAAACAATGCAAGACAAACATGTATTAATGACTATGCAAACCCAAACCTGTCCATTGTATCGGTTGATACAGGAGATGGCACATTATGATAAAACCAAAAAATTGCTAAGCATTTCAGGTCACATCAACAGTAAATGTTATCACAAAAGGTGCACGAAAGTACCAAGTCTAGACAGGCTCTGAAAATTTACTTTAGAACCCCAAAAATTATCAAACACAAATAGTGAATAAAAACATACATTCTAAATATTCTTTTGTATTCTATTGAGAATCAAATTACGGATTAACTACAATCGAATGTAAAGATCTGACTCTTCAAGTCAATCCTTACCTTCTTCACAGACCATTTTGGAAGGGCAGCATTCATCGGGTGTTTGTTTGGCCCAGTAACACCTGTCAGGGAGGGGCGGAGCTTGTCCACACTCGTGGGATATGCAGACAGGGGTGAGGGATGGAGAACACTCACAGGTCATGCAGGTTGCTTGCCAACGCTCACCCACACGGTAACCGCCCTCACAGGTGGCTGGGGGTGGAGGTATAAAAAAAAAACTGTCCTTCCATGTTTGAGTTCGGGGGCTTGACGTTTGGGGGTTTAGGGTTGCTGCAGGTATAGTATTTCTGTTGCTACAAGTAAAGTACTTTGGTTGCTACAGGTATAGTATTTCTGTTGCTACAGGTAAAGTACTTTGGTTGCTACAGGTATAGTATTGTGGTTTCTAT